TCCTAATAAAATAATGTAAATTATATTGAGAAATTTGTATCACAAAAACAATTAATTTTTTTAAGAAAATGCGAGTTAGACGTTTCTTTTTAAGACGTACGTTTGAAACATTTTTAACTATTTTAGATATCAGTTTGAACTATTTGATATGTCTATAATGTAGTCCTCGAAACGAGTTTTGAGATGATATAAGCGATTTGTAGATTCGACCACTGTACGATTGTAGGGGAATTTTTAAAATTAACATGTTATCGAAATTCTCGAAATACTAATTTTAAAACACCTACTTTGACAAGTCATAACATTTGCTACAATTGGTCGTTTTGCACGCCGTTAACAACATAAAAAGTTAGACTGTGAGTACTTCGAAATGGTATTAAGAATGCAATATTTCGATTTCGTTTCACATCTTTTAATGATTACGAAAATTGAAATAAAACATAGAATTTTTTTTTTTTTTCAAAAAAGGCAAAGTGGGGGATGGGGGTGGGGGGGGGGGGATCGAAATACATACCATACCTGCTTCATGTACTAACGAAGTGCTAAGGTCAAGAGCATATAATAGCACACATACAATGAGCACACATCATACGGGGCAATTATTGTTCATGGATCCACGTGTTTAGAAAGGAGAATGAGATTCTTTTGGCAAAAGGGGCTAAAACGAACGCGCAATGGTGGCTACACGAATCATGAAAATTGCAATTCCAATTAGAAGAGGTGCCAATACCTAGCATTTCATAGCACATTCAAATGAATAATTTTAGGTAGTGCTATACGATAAGTTCAATGAAAGATGGAATCAAGTGATTCATTTTATTGCCACATTAGTGTATTTTAACACAGATAGTACTAAAAAGTCAAACCTGCTTAAAGATTCGATCGAACTGCTATACGCATTATAAAAAATGTCAAATTCATTTTAAAATTTTGTCTATTTTATCATTCAACATACAAAATATTTTATTATGAAAACATGTAGTTTAAAATGAGTTTAAGAAAAAAGAGTTTTGTTTTAATGGTTGTCAAACCGGAACTAAAATGAGTTTTTTTTTTGGGATAATGAGTTTTAAAATAATGATTTTTTGGAAAATGTATGATTAGAAAGTAATCCATGTTTGACAATTATTAAAACAAATCTTTTTTTTTAAATGTGTTTTCAACCACACATTTTCACAAAAAAATATTCTGTACATAAATCTAAATTTTTTCGTACTTTTTAACCACACATTTTTCAAAAAATTACTTTTTCAAAATTTATTTTCCCCTTAAAATTCATTTTAATGATCGTCAAATAGGAGTGTAGAAAAAAGTTTTGAATTTACATATAAAATATTTTATCGAGAGAATGCATAGTTGAAAATAAGTTTGAAAAAAAAAAAATGTTTCAATGATTGTAAAAAAAGGATACTACCACGAAATTTTCTTACACGCTCCTGCTGTAACGCATGTTGCAATATTTTATTGCTCACACTAACCCTCCAAGGGATCAAATCAAAAACACTGTATTTTCAAAGTCACGTGCCAGGAAAAAATAGAAATATGACAAAAACACTGTATTTTTCAAAGTTTG